CGAGAGTACAGCAACCACCACATTTCATCTATTTCAGCATATTTATGGAGTAGTATGGTGTACTAGTCTATACTCAGATTTGCTTACGCCTAGGATCCCTGCTGAGACAGAATCTAGTGTCATCAGCAAACAATGTTTTTTAGCCCACGGCATTGTTACATTCTTGTTCGACTCTTTGCTATTTAACATACTATGTTTTTCATCTATTTGAACAAAATATATAAATACATATATATATATGTGTGTATTTATATACGCTGTTCAATATATTATATACACATATATATATTTATATATGCTGTTCAATATATTATATATATATATAACTTACCAGTACGGATGCACACTTTTAAAATAATTCTACTTTAATTAAACTTAGGAGATAATATAATCAATTAATCAATACGGTTTAGGAAATAATTATATATATATATATATATATATATATATATGAGTTGTTTCAAAATTAAGGACTTAACGGATACTAATCAAACTTCTTAAGATGAACACAAAACGCTCTAGAAAAAATGACTAAATTTGTGGTAAATTAGCAGCGGTGCCATCAAATCTGGAACTCCAGTTAATCCATTGTTAAGCTAGGTTAGGCTGAAGTAGACGACAGATCTTATTAAAGCAGCTTATAAGAGTGCAATATTAAATCAAATAATTATAAAAAATAACAAGAAAAAATAGATTCAATGTGTAAAATTAGAACAGAAGTCTTAACTTTTGCTCAATATGAAAAAGTTAAAGGGTTTAAGATGCCCCTTTCGTGGAAAAAGACAAAAATGGGAAATAATCTCTGACTGAATTCACTGCGTTGTTTTTTTTTTCCCAACACTTGTAGCTAGCAACATTGATGCAAAATTAATCGTCAAAAAAGACATAGTAGAGACAGAAAGTATTAATGCGTATGCACGAAAACTAATATTATATTTGGCGCTTCTTTACTTCAGACAAAAATGCATTAATTCGGTTATATTCTGATATTATATTCAAGATTATTAAGAGAACAAGCCGTTTTTATCAAAAGGAACGCGCAACAGAACAAATGTTAAGTTAATAGTGACAGGAAAGAACTGGCGTAACGTTAGTAGGTTTCTAAGACGGCAGGTTTAAAGTGCAAATCGAAATTTCCTTTTCAGCTGATGGATTGAAAAATAATTTTCACTCTCATACCTGAAAATGAATGTTCTATCATCCTTCGAAACTTAAATCCTGCAAATTTACTCACGCTGTTCCTAAACTTGTTGCTAATTGTTATTTTCTTTAACATAACAAACGACTTGTACGACTAAAATCTTAAATAAAATTATGTGCGTTTTTAAACTTGGCAGTTTATCAGTTTTTCAAAGAAACACATTTTTCTCAGGAGCTCAAAACTTTTCTGCTGCATTTATCATTCTGTTGAAATTCCTTGCGTTCAATGAAACAGGTTCTCCTAGGCCTGATGATAAACTTAATCACGGTTTGCGAACCTCTGATTCACGCACACTAATACGAAATTTCAATATGAACCAGTTTTTGTTTAAAGATTTATAATTGTGCAAATCGACATAAGTTTTTCAATTTAATTTTGAGGCTGCAACCTTTAAAACTGCTGTTTCCTTCGTTGTGGTACACCAGGGCAAATTAACGAGCTGAAATGCACTTCGCTTTTATCAATTGCATAATTCTTCACTCTGAATAAATTTGCATTTCATTTGAAGATTACTGTGCACTTCCAACTATTTAACGTTTCCTAATTCGTAACACTTTTTTATTTTATGCTCTAAAACGATACAAAATACAAAAAGAAAACTTCAGAGTTCGCTGTATAACTAAGCTGCATACAGCATACGCACAGAGCAAAGGTAATGTATAGAAAATATGTAACAACTAAGGCATGCAGGCGTTGCTAATATGTGTACTACACTTTCTTTCACAATCTCCAACAGCTGTCTCTGAGAAATGATCAGCAGCATTGAAAGAAACATTTTTGTTGATTTTAATTGACCAAAGGTATAACTCAGGTTAAAATAACGCGCCGAATAATGATTATTGGAGAAGTCAAACAACAAGAATCAGCGTTACATTTATAAATTTTGCAAAACTAGTTTCGATGGTTCTGTAATCAAACCATCGAAACTAGTAATGCAAAATTTACAATGTTTCTTGTTGTTTGACCTCTCCAACAATATTAGATGTATTTTAAGGTATTTTAAAAGAAATTGGACGGAACCAGGATTTTTACTTAAACGTCAAAACGGAGAAGGCGCAGTGATAAAACGCTTCAGTTCCCCGTTTAACCCTCTCAGTGTTACGGCCGGAAAATTCCGTACAGAAGGTTGCCTTCGACATTCATTATGCATGAAAATTTCTGCTAGCTTTTAATGTATCTGGTTTCAGTTTGGATGTATATTGGAAGAAAAGGAATCATGGTACCAAATGAAAGAGTCATTTTTTAATTAAAATCAAGAAAATATCACTTATTCATGACATTTTGAGGAACTTTGAAATTAACCAGACTCGTTGTCAACCAATGTAGACTTTTTTGAATGAGTGATAGTTATTTTGACGCGCATGTTTACATTCACATGGTGAGTCTGATAAGTAATTCTTACAAGTCCATTGAATACAGTACTTAAACTGAGCAACAGAGTGAGAGTTCTCATAGGTGCTATCCCCAAAGGGTGAAAGATCATTATAACAAATAATTCATATCTGTTAGCACTTAGACTAAAGGTGACCTTAGCATATAGCATCTATATTTATATTAAGGAAGAACTATGCTGTTTGTCTACGTCGTTTAATCTGAGTACCTGTAATATTACAAGCTAACGAAAGGAATTTTGCTTCAAACTACCTTTATGCTGAAGTAATTTAAATGGTACAATAACGATTAGAAACCTGCAGAAAAATAATTTGTCATCAAGGCTGGTCGATTAATATTATTTTGCATTAACCCGTTATTTATAATTTCAGCCTTTACTGTCACTTCTCCTTTTCAGTTTCCTCACTAGAAATGTAAATCAGTTTGAGAGTAGTCGAGGTCGAAGGTTGTCGAAGTCGAGGGTTTGGGACTGTACGACAGGACATGTTTCTGCTCTCGAGGCCACGTTAATATGTTTCGCCAGCTCTAGTAAGATTGGAATTTTTCTTCTTTGCGATATTCCTGCCGATATTTAGTCGTTACGTCGGTGAAAAGTTCTGAGGCAACTTAGAATTTAAGACAAATTTTGTAGTCTTCATTTAATAGGCTTAATTTGTCTGTTATTTTAAGTTTCATTGCCACAAGTGGTGGTTGATTTCGTAAGCACGAGCATTTCGCGTACCAAGTTCTGATTTAATAAAAAGTTCAGCGTAACCTTATAAGGTATTTCTCCTGCCTTCTTAGCATGTCCTCGTGGTGTGGTGGTCTGCACGCTGGACGCGTATTCCAGAGGTCCGTGGCTCGACTCCCGGCGAGTGCGTTGCTCATTTTTCACATCTAAGTTTAAGAAACTGTTTAGATGAAAACTTTGAGTAAGACCTTATTGCTTTCACATTACTAGTAATCACATAACCGGACAAAAGCTGCTAATTTCCATCTAAGAAGTGAAAATGCATGTGTATAATTTTTAAGGCATTTTCTCCCTTATTCTGGCATTCCTTCGTGTTGTAAAGGTAGCACACTCGGAGCCTATTCGAGAGGTCCTGGTTGGAGACCAGGCAAGGGCAGTGCACATTTTTCACATCATCTGCTTCAAAATAACCTGGTGTCTCTACAGTGCAGCCCGAACTAAAAAAGGTGGTGGATAATGATTCTTCACCACCGGGATTTGGCGATTGGGTCGCCTAATCCCCCTTCGCCCTTTAAGAAGGGGAGTATATAAGGTATTTTCTCCCTCCTTCCGGCATGTCTTCGAGGTGCAACGTTAGCACACTCGGCGCTTATTCGAAAGGTTAAGGTTCAAATCCCGTAGAGGGCATTTCTCATTTTTATGTAATCCTACTTCCATACAACCTAATGACTCTACAAGTTGACCAAACGAATGATTGAAATGAAGACTATTTTTATCTTAATCATCTTACAGAAATGAGAAAATTCTAAAATGAGGCTAGTTTAATTTAATTTGATGTAGTAAGCATAGAAAGGCTTCCTGGGGCAAAGATAACTTTCGCTAGGTACTTCAAAGGGAAAAAGGCTCATATTTGTATTGTTTAATAGGGAAAATCATTCTTAGGCAACGCATTCTACTGAAAATCAGATGGGGATAATGTTATCGGCGCTCAGCAGTTTCACTAATCACTCGTCGATACATAATGATGACTGCTAAAAACAGGTAACTCTTTATTTTGGTTCTGATTTTTAAAAAGAAAAATTGCACTTCTTTTTTCTGTTTTTGAGTTTTATTTTTAATAAAATTCAATACTTTAAACTGAGAATGAAAGTTATGTAGCCCAACATGAGCATATTATCAGAAAATAGAAAAGTGTACGAGGAAAGCAGTTTTTTGTGTCCCAGAAACCAGACGAAATAAAATAACTTAAGTTTTAAATAAGTGTTGTTAGAATATAAGTTTCAAATGTTGTTTATTTACTAAAAGTGAAAGAAACAGACACGTGTCTAGACACTACTTCAACACAGTCACAAAACTATATAGTATGTATAAATTATTTCTATGGAATACACTGAAAAATTTCCATTCGCAACAAAAAATTAGAATAATATGTTAAGTTACTGAAAAATGCAAAACTATAATAATTTTTTCCAATAAATAGCATCTCATATAGGATGTTTTAGAAAAATGTCGACATGACATTTAACTTCGCTGAATAAAATTAAAAAGCATTTACATTTAAAATGAAATATATTTCTCCTTCTACCCCAAACAAATCAGTTCGAGTTCTTGAGCTGAAACACGTATTCGTGAATCATTGGTAAAGCTGATGTTTATAGAAAGTGAACAACAATTTATTAGTACACAAAGACTATTTTTTCTACTTTTTTTAATAGAATTTGTTTTTCGTCTTTCCAGGAAACAGGAGAACTGCTATTCAGTTTAATATGGCTACATCGTTAGCTGTCACTCCCTATTATGAGAATGCGGAAACTGAAGGAATGAACTTCACTCAGATATCAACAAATCCCCCAACTCACGCAATTGATCCTAATTTAGCTCATCTTATTCTGCCGTACAGCATCATCTTCATCCTAGCCGTATCAGGAAATGTTCTGGTGATAGTAACTCTCCTCGTCAACAAAAGAATGAGAACAGTAACAAATGTATTTTTGTTCAATTTGGCCGTTAGTGACTTTTTACTGGGAGTTTTTTGTATGCCATTTACACTAACTGGTGTTCTTTACCGAGAATTCCTGTTTGGTAGTAGTCTTTGCAAGTTGATTCCCTATTTCCAAGGTAAGGTCTTTTTAATTTTTATTTCAGTACTTTAGAAAAATTCAGATGATACACTTTAGCGAGAAAAAATTGCCTTTTCTCTTCATTTGAAATTAAATTCTTGAAATATAGTTTAATGTAATGTGAAAATGAATAATTTTACAACGAATGCTTATAAAACTTGATGTTGCTAGCAAGAGATAGACAATGTGAATTACGCCTGTGAAGTACCTAATATTTTTGTGTTAACAGCCATGGCTTTGTTGTTGTTTCTGCAAATCTTTACGGAGAAAAGAAAAAAGAAAAAGAAGTGCAAATTTATTGTGGAAAGGAGGAAACATTTGGTCTTATTTCCTTTTAACTTAAAAGGTGTATCCTTTTTACACATTGCAAAGTATCGCCGATCATAAGCAGTCGCAACGTAGGGAGCTATTTCAGCCCTATGTTCAAGAATTTTATTATATTCTCTTTTAGAAAGTTTAAAATGAGTGGAAAACTCTTAAATTGCCTACGAACTTTAAATATTTAGAACATTTGTAAGCTATAACTAAAACTAATCTAAAAAAATGATGAAGAATTTTATTATTCTGATTTTGTAGTCAAGAAAAGCTACGAATTCCTTTTCTTAAACACACAGTTTCTAGAAAAGGAAAGAAAACACTTACGGATGGTGAATTACTAAAAACAGCATTCTTGTTAATATTTTAATCAATTTCTAACTTAAAAAATTGAAAGCAAAGTAACAACAATGCTATGAAACCTAACGCTTGGGAGAGCATTAGCATGAAGAACTGAAATTCTCACTTCTAATATTGAATCTGGTTTGAAAATGTGTATGAAAAATGCGCATTTTACTACTTGGAAGTTGAATGAGTTAATTGATGCAATGGATACTTCCTAAATAAATATTACTCCGAGAATTAGCTATTATAACGTTAATAAAGAGGAAGAATTTCTAAGAAGTGTGCTTTTGAAATATCGAACACGAAATGGAAGTATTTATATAATGTTAAAAAATGAGTGGATGGAAACAATTCACCCTTAGAAGAATTTACTAAAATTACAGCAGAAAGAGAGACGTATGAAAGAGAAACAAAGATTTATTGCGATATGATGCTTACCAAAAATGCATATCATGTCATTACATCATATCGCAAGAAATGAGCAATTAAGTTGCATATTTTTCCCATTATACAAACAGCGGGGATATCGTGAAATTCAGATGATCTGTAGCATAATAACGTCACTGTACGATTGAGATGCAGAATCTGATGATCATACTTACATGAAAGTGTGAGGGTTTGAAGAAATATCCTTTAAAAACATTTTTAAAATTTGTTATTTCAGGTGATTAAGTTTTTTTTAGCCCAAGGGGGCAATTTTCCCAGAACGGTTATTAATTTCATTTCAGCATTTTGCATCGTCCCCTTTTCTAATTGTTGCTCCCCAAATATTAGAGCCTTGCATTATATTAAAAAATAAATAATCAAGATCCTGCATGAAGTCTTGCATTGTGAAAAAACAACGATACCTAGAGACATCATATTTTGAATAATGTAGTCCTCCACTTTAATAGGAACATCTGGAAACCCAAATTATAAATTTGGAATTTGTTTTATTATCTATTTTATATTTTTAAAACTAACGAAATTCAGATTAACGAACTCAGCGATTTCAAAGCGAGCAGTGGCAACACTATACGAAAAAAAAGAAAAAGCCAGCACGCGAGACTGTATTCGGAAACTCTAAAGCCATGCTCTTTTTAAATATTTTATGATATTGCTGTTGAATTGAATTTTATGGTTTAAGTATGAAGAACATGATATTTAATAAATAAATGTAATACACAAAAAATGCCCCTTTGGGCGTAATATAAAATCTGAACGCTTTCTCTCCTCTCCCCAGCTACATTCCTCGAGTTCTTAAACGAGAAACGAAAGCTCAATAATCATAGGCAGGGTAGAAAGTATATTTATTGCCGTTTCATACAGTATAAGGAACAATGATGGTGATATAAATTTCCTAATCTATGGCAGTTTTGGTTAGAAACCCCAAAGCCATGGAATCCGAGTTTTGCCTTCCCTTTCCACCAACTCTCAAGAAGACATCCTAATCAATGGATTTAAGTATCAGTCACATACTTCCATACAACAGTCACATTTGTCAATGAACAGTCACATTTGTCAGGATTTAAATTCTGGCCTTTCCTTATGGGAGCAGCCTCTTAATAATCCACACCAATAGCATGGAAGAATCTTGTTTTGAAATGGAAGGTAAAGATTGATTATTGCTCTTGCATTACTTACTTGTTTAATAGTTTGAAACTACACAAAATTAATGAAAGGCAAAATATACTATATTTCTTCAGTGAAGTGTGAAGTAAATTCGTGTAAAGCTAAGCTGGTACTATAGAAGTCCCATTAAATTAAAAACTATTTATCACACATCGAAAATTTGAAAATTGTTACTGAAAGTTTTGCTTTCTAATGATTTTTTTCATTTTCATCTTTTATACGTAAGGACATGTGTTTATTTTTAAATTTATTCTCCACTGCTGACATTTGCTAGAAAACATCTGATTACAACCCATTAACAGTGAAATCGAAAGAAGAAAATTGCAGAAGACACTATCGTTTAATCCTTGCCATCTCTGTAAAAGGAAGTGGCTTAAGAGCTTTATTCATTCGTGCACTCTTAACAGTGTATGTGAGCATCAGTCACAAGAAGACCTAATGGGAAAAAGCATTTATATAAGTGTGTGTAGGTGATTATGGCAAAGCCTCGAGGGCTATCTGCCTAAAGGGAGGGATGCCTTCGCAGAGGACTTTAAGAACTGGCTCGTATACACGCTACACATGGGGAAAACCACAAAAACGCCTATGCAGCCAGCCCTCTCGCGGAATTCGAACCTCGGACCGAACTACCAGTGTTCAGCGACTTTACCGCTCGGCCGTTGGTTGGCCCATTTATATAAGTATTAAAAACATATACCGTGAAGTTTCAATGAATTTAGGCTATTTGATCACTGCAAAGCACTTTAGACCTATCTGCTTAAAAGAAGAGATGCTTTCGTAGAGGAGTTTTTAAAAGCAACTGGTGCGTATTTATATTACATATGGGCAAAACAATGAAAATTCCCTGCAGCCAGTCCGTTCGCCGGAGTATGAACTAAAGTAAAACTATCAGTGTTCAGTGATATTACTGTTCAATCATTAATGAGCAAATTTTCAAAGAAATGTTGCGCTTTATGGCAATGTCGGTCACAGAATATCCGTATAGAGTCATTTGAGTACCTGTCGGCATTGCCAAGGCCACTCGATACTTCGAGGCAGAGCAAAGTATCACTGAACTTTCGAAATCAATTAGTGTTTACGATTTCCTCATTTGAATATGGTATTTAATTCCAATAGAATAACTCTATGTTTGCATGATGGTAGTTACGGAAGGACCATAACAGCCAAAGACAATCAAAATGCTTCCATATCTAAAGAAAGGTCTGATGTGGACACCACATGATTTCGTTGTACGAGCTATTAAATTATATACATTTTTTCTTTGCTCCACTTCATCTAAACTTTCTCAAACTGTTCTAATTTGAATAATCGATACCTCAATCCATTTGAAATTGACCTCAAAAATTGCAAATTTTGAAATTAAAAATCAATTTATGTCATACGGGAATCAAACTTCTTATAATTTTGTTTTCTCATAACGAGTATAAAACTTTCCTAAATGTAAGTATAAAACCTGGGAGACCGCATTAAAAGTTAGATTTCGTTAATCCTCAATTATTTTTTAAAAAGTTTCATTTTGCCAAAAAATGAATATTTTTGTCATTTAAAACAGTTTTTATAACTGGAAGTATATGATTACGATCAATTACTGCAAAAATAAAGGCCAGGTAAAGACTTTTAAGCCGGCTAAAGGAGTTGGCATATATAAATATATATATATATATACGTATATAATATATATACACTCACTTCCGAAAGTTAAGCACGAAGATGTAAAATGCAAAAAAATAAACAAATACTCCTTTGATTGACACAAAATTTGGCAGGAAAGTAGCATATATATTTATGCATAAAACAAAATCAATAATTATATACAGAAATGAAAACAAACATTAATTTTTGTAAGCTATCAGATAATGAAACTGGAGACTTAAACAGAATTATGTATAAAGTGAAAATAAACGCATAAATGAAAAAAAGGACACTAATGGGGTATATGATCCCCCTCAGCTGTATACAAAATACCTTGCGGCCATACTTTCAGTTAGGTGGTCAACCACCGCAGAGTGAGTGAGTGAGTGACGGAGGACGTGGGCACCATCCCTCTACCGTTACGGTTAATTGGTATGAGCACCACGCCCGCCCTTATCTAGAATGACATAATTAGGTACTTAGGTTATCGCTACCCATTCAGACTTGCATGGTACATATTGCCATACTCTGACTTGCACGCCTATTGCACATGCCGTACCATATTCGGACTTGCTTATTCATACTTGCATGGTGCATTTACATTCATATTGCATGGTACATATTTCACACATTTCATATTACACATTACATTTACTGGGAAATTGAATATGACTTATGTTTAAGGTTCTTTGCATCCGTAAGGTTCAATATTTACGTTAATTATACATGATTAGATACTTAGGTTAACTCTATGCATTCATTATTATTTACAGACTTGCATGGTACATATTACACACAGAGAGATTGATTAATACTTATGTTAAAGGTACTTTACATCTTAGGTACTTTAGGTTAACACATAGTTTAACACTACGCATTCATTATTGTTTACAGGTTTGCATGGTGCATATTATATACATTACATAGTACAGCTTATATTTACTGAGAAAACTTGCATTGTACATAGTTCACGCATTACATAATACAAATTACATTTCTAAGAATTTAATTATTAATTAATAATATTAATTAATACTTGCATGGTACATATCATACATATCATACACATTTCATAGTGCAGTTTACATTTACTGA